ATTGTACGAAATGATTAACGGTCCTTAGAATAACAAATAAAAGCCCCGTTTTCAGCTATAGCTAATGACGATCGTCAAAAAAAATGACAAACCTTGGGTTATCAGCCTCGTCCTGTAATAATTTAAATGCAAGTTACTTATAAACCTTAGCTCGAATGAGCTATTTAACCGACTAGATCAAGGAAGGTCATCAATAAAAGAAAGGAATAAAAATGGAAAATTAAAAGTTGCAAAGGCGTATTCAGAGACCATGGATAGGGATGCACACAGGCGACAAAGCCGCACATTGCGAGCGCGAAGACCGGGTGGCCTACCCTGGAAAATTTCGAAAACTAGAAGCCCGGAAATGCCATTTCCAGTGATCTGAGACAAGAATCTTGTTCTGAAATGCGCTCCCAGGATCTAGATCAACCCTTGAATTGCAAAAGAATAGAAACAATATTTTGGGTCTTTTATAAAGACATTGTAAACAAATAACAAGAATAGGTTGAATTTGGTTTTCAGTGATAACATATTTCTTTTTTCTTTTTTTTTTTTTTTTAGCAAATTACCCGTATAATAACTGCTTTGCCTATTCTTCCGGGTCTCTATTTTCTTCCCACCTAATCCGCTCTGTTCCCAAATTCACATTCGTTAACGACCATCTCAGCCTGAGCTGACTCGGATATCCTGCTTGCTTGCGCTTCTTAGCCGAATTAACACCTACCCTCTTTTTAGGCATGATGATCTACTAATAAATACACGCGTGACTTAAATATTACTAGGACTCAGACTCGTCAACTCGAGCACAATACTTTTGTCTAGATGATTGACACTAGCGTGATGTAGGCTAGATCGGTAAACAATACAAGTAGATTATCCTAGGACGGACTATCTAGAACGTCATTAATCAGCTTGAATTAATTGTGTGGTAATCCAAGTTATTTTGATTTATTTCAACATGGAAAGCTATTCTTAGAACAGGGAGTCAATAAAATCTGGAGCTTATTACTTCCCTTGATAGAAATGGCTTTCAGATGATTTGAAAGGTGTACGTAAACCTTTTCAAATGTGACTTGGATTAAAAAATATTTTCGAACCCTCTGGAAATTTAAAATAGCATTTAATAGATAATTTACACAACAGGTAGGACACTAACACATCTATAATCCTTAGAATAAGGCTTCTGTTTATTTTCTGGAGCTGTCAAACCAGCAAGAGTGAGACTGTCCCTTTAATAATATCAGTAGAGTTCAAGCACTCATAACCTTGATGCTTTCCACCAAATTTAGAAACTGCAGTCTTTATTGTGTTCACAAACGTTTTGGCAAAGGGCAGATAACGCCAGAACACACTCTTCGAACGACGACATTTTGAAAATTTCTTTCCAAAACCGGTAGCCACATTACAATTATATTGGTGTAGCTACATACCAGCATGGGCCGTATTTACTGTCCGTGATATCACTTACCGTCATACAGCCGAGGTTAGATGTAGAATACCAGATGCGGTCCAGATGTCGAGGTTTTCCGAAGGCAGTGGCTATTTGCCACATGTGGTAAGCAAGAATTTCAAAATAGCCTTACGACTACAGACCGCAATTGTTACCCGATTTTAATGAAACTTACAGATTATGATAACATTGATAACAAACTTTAGGCCACTTCCGGTTGGCGGTTTCCGAGATATGGGGGTTACCACACATTTCATGTGGCACAGCTACAGACCATAATTATTAACCGATATCCATGAAACTTACAGAATATGATAACATAAATAATATCTCAGAGTAGCCAAAATTTCGAAAACCGGAAGTGGTCGAAATTTTGCCTACTCTGAGATATTATTAATGTAATTATAATCTGCAAGTTTCATTGAAATCGGTTGGTAGTTGCGGTCTGTAGCCGTACCACATGAAATGTGTGGTAACCTGATATCTCCGAAACCGCTAACCGGAAGTGGTCGAAATTTTGCCTACTCTGTGATATTATTAATGTAATTATAATCTGCAAGTTTCATTGAAATCGGTTGATAATTGTGGTCTGTAGCCGTGCCACATGAAATGTGTGGTAACCTGATATCTCCGAAACCGCTAAGTGGTCGAAATTTTGCCTACTCTAAGATATTATTAATGTAATTATAATCTACAAGTTTCATTGAAATAGGTTGATAATTGTGGTCTATGGCCGTGACACATGAAATGTGTGGTAACCTGATATCTCGGAAACCGCTAGTGGTCGAAAGTGGTCAAAACTTTGCCTACTCTCAGATATTATTAATGTAATTATAATCTGCAAGTTTCATTGAAATAGGTTGGTAGTTGCCGTCTGTAGCCGTGCCACATGAAATGTGTGGTAACCTGATATCTCGGAAACCACTTACCGGAAGTGGCCGAAACTTTGCCTACTCTGCGATATTGTTAATGTCATTATAATCTGCAAATTTTATTGAAATCGGTTGGTAATTGCGTTCTGTAGCCGTGCCACATGAAATATGTGGTAACCTGATATCTCGGAAACGCTAACCGGAAGTGGTCGAAATTTTGCCTACTCTGAGATATTTTAGCTACTCTGAGATATTATTAATGTAATTATAATCTGCAAGTTTCATTGAAATCAGTTGGTAATTGCGGTCTGTAGCCGTGCCACATGAAATGTGTGGTAACATGGATATCTCGAAAACCGAAAACCGGAAGTGGTCGAAATTTTGCCTACTCTGAGATATTATGAATGTCATTATAATCTGCAAGTGTCATTAAAATCGGTTGGTAATTGCGTTCTGTAGCCGTGCAACATGAAATGTGTGACCGGAAGTGGTCGAACTTTTGGCTACTCTGGGATATTATTAACGATATCATATTCCGCAAGTTTCATTGAAATCGGTTAATAATTGTGGTCTGTAGCGGTGCCACATGAAGTGTGTGGTAACCTGATATCTCCGAAACCGCTAACCGGAAGTGGTCGAAATTTTGCCTACTCTGAGATATTATTAATGTTATTATAATCTGCAAGTTTCATTGAAATCGGTTGATAATTGTGGTCTGTAGCCGTGCCACATGAAATGTGTGGTAACATGATATCTCCGAAACCACTAAGTGGTCGAAACTTTGCCTACTCTGAGATATTATTAATGTAATTATAATCTACAAGATTCATTGAAATCGGTTGATAATTGTGGTCTGTGGTCTGTGGCCGTGCCACATGAAATGTGTGGTAACCTGATATCTCGGAAACCGCTAGTGGTCGAAAGTGGTCGAAACTTTGCCTACTCTGAGATATTATTAATGTAATTATAATCTGCACGTTTCATTGAAATCGGTAGATAATTGTGGTCTGTAGCCGTGCCACATGAAATGTGTGGTAGCCTGATATCTCCGAAACCGCTAACCGAGAGTGACAGAAACTTTGCCTACTCTGAGATATTATTAATATCGGTTGATAATTGTGGTCTGTAGCCGTGACACATGAAATGTGTGGTAACCTGATATCTCGGAAACCGCTAACCGGAAGTGGTCGACATTTTGCCTACTCTGAGATATTATTAATGTAATTATAATCTGCAAGTTTCATTGAAATCGGTTGGTAATTGCGGTCTGTAGCCGAGCCACATGAAATGTGTGGTAACCTGATATCTCGGAAACCGCTAACCGAAAGTGGTCGAAATTTTGGCTACTCTGAGATATTATTAATGTTATCATATTCAGTAAGTTTCATGGATATCGATTGATAATTGTGGTCTGTAGCTGTGCCACGTGAAATGTGTGGTAACCTGATATGGCAAATAGTCTCCGGATTGTCTTACCGAACGAAAAGGTGCGAGTACAATGGACTTCGGTGGCGTTTTCAAGTCGGATAAAAAAACGACGCTTCATTAATTTAAACGCGAATATTTTGAATCAGGCGATATATGTGTTACTACATTGGCCTCTGTAGGTTTAATTAGTCATAATAGTATATTAAAAATTTTTTTTAAGATGTCACATGTATTAATAAAAGAATTGAGTTTGCCAGGCGAAACAGAAGGCACCCAATCGTAGTTAAAAACAAACACATCAGTATATCTCAACGTTTATAGCTGCGTTCTCGTATTACGTTGCTAGTAACGACCCATACACACATTATTGAGTTTTGATCTTATTTATGCCGGATGATATAATCTAAACAATACCTCGCGGTCTGCTTGTCGGTCGGTGTTTGATAAGCGCTTTCAGAAAAAATTTCTTAAAGTTTATGAGAGTGATAAATTAATAGTAATATCTAATCCAAGCAAGGACAACCATTCTGTGCCAGATCCGGATGTAAACAAATTGAATGCTGCTTATCATGGAGATAAACGTAGGAAGGGAAATAACTCCATTAGAATCTTTTTGTTTTCAAACTTTTAAAATACCCAAATAGTGTCAGTGACAATGTGGTGTAGTTTATGATATAACTAGGTAAAGGGATACGCCGCGATTAAACACCACACGCCGCCAGGTATTGAGACTTATAGGGTTTCTCTAGTCATTGTCAAGAATTGATAAAATATAATATGATGGAACTTAGAACCAATCTAAACAATTCGGGTTTTATTATGTAACTCATGTTTTATGTTCTATGATATGGCTGACTAACGAAATGTAAATATTTTACTTCAATATTATAAAAAAGAAATCAATTCATATTTAGTACAAAACTTACGTACATAACTTTCAGATTACATAACAACACAATGTGTTGAATGTGATAGGAATATGGTGTCGCCGTTTGACACGACTCGTGGAATATGTCTAGTCTCGTTCTTCGAGTCCCTTGTTACAAATGGCGCTAAAAAGGCATTATGGTACACGATTCGTGTACCAGTGGTAAAATGTTTATTCTGTCTTAAATATTGGATATCAGTAGCCCATCTTTTCCCGGTAAGATCACAACATAAATGTTGATTTAAATTGACATATTCGTGTTTTCAATGTCGAAGACGTTGGATAATACTGAGTTAGAGACTTTGCTACTTTAAGTTGTATACTTTATTTATAACATCATTCACAATCCCAAACTGAATACTATATTGTTTTTTTCAAAGCAGGTATAACGACATTCCAGAGTTTTGTGGCTTCATATCTAAAGTTTTGGTGGCTTTTTGGTGTCGATGAATCCAGTAGGAAATAGGACTGGTTGTAGACAGACGTGAAGGGTTCCCATCTAGCACCATATAGAGGTTGTGGTGTAGGATCACTACAAGGATAAAACTGATAGTAGAATATTGTTAATATGTGAAGGATCCGGTAAACCTTCTTACGATTCAATATTCGCATTTTCCTCAATTTAGACCCCTCTTCTTTCCAATTGCTTATAAATATATTATTATACTTTGTTGATTTAAACATATTTTATTATTTTAAATTAAACGGATCAGACTAAAGTTACTTAAACTAACAAACAAGTCCTTTCCAATTTTTGTCGTGGGTGGTCGGTGCAGGTGCTGGGTCTGATTAATCTTGTTGCGGAGGGGGAGGGGGCCAGGGAAGATCAATGGTAAACATACAGATGTCTACCAGCAGAGATTAAGTCAAAGTCCAGCTTACCCACGGCGTCCTTTTTTGGTGTAAATGAATCCCCATCTAATGCAACGGGAGTTCAGATTGAGGGCTCAGGGTATGTTCTTCATATTTGCAAATCTAAATTAGAATCTCGGTCACCCAACTGAACTTTTGATCTTATACTCAGTCCATAGGGGGGTGGGGGGGAGATTTTGTGCCACGTTTTGCCCCCCTCCCACACACATCACCCTATATTCAATACTAGGTCAATGAATCAAAGTCGATAAATGTACATTTCAGATACTAATAAAGAGTAAAATTAACAAAACCAAATATATTTACACACAAGATCAGTGAAATTAAAATATGGACCAGTGAGAATACTTGGTTATACTGTATTGGCATGTTTTCTTTCTAAGCTTATTCTAGAGGACTGAAGTTCGTTAGATACACTGCTTGGATGTAGTGCCATTAAAATGTATAATATTTACCCATATTTTGCAAAATTTGTCCACATTTCCATCATAGTTAAACTAAAGAAGCAGTCGATATCAGTATAATTGCTATAATCCAGCACTTTGTTAAATGGTTCCCCAAATACAAACGCCTTTTCATATCCATGTGGTGCGCCTTCGTAAAATACAAATGACATAGAGAAATTACTGCTTCCAAAATAACCAGAACATTGAAATATTTATTGACCCCCCCCCCCCCCCCACACACACACACACACACACACACACATAAAGATGGTGATATACAGAATTTTGATTTAGAATATCCCCAAGTTACTTTGTATACATGGTAAATACGACAGGTCTCAAAACAACCCCAAGGAACACCACACACTAGAGAAACACATTCTGAGTTATCTGCGTTGACAAAACAGTTCCTTCTTATGACCGGCGGATCAAGTATAACAAATTAGAAAAACAAATTTCTAATAATATTCTGCCTTTTTACCAGAAATGTAAAAATAAACAGTAAAATTATATATTAGTGATATATCATTACTTAAATGATGGTATCCATTTTCGTTAATGTAATGTACCGAAACTTACCTTCCCACTTTGGTAATGTATTTTTTGAAACATAACTGAAAACATAGAAATATGTTTTACCATTTCCACCTAATTTAGCATCTAATTGTGTTTCTAGAACTATAGGAGCTGTGAAAAGGTCGTCGCTGACTAACTAATAAAAGAAAATATATACCACTCACTGTGATATAAAATTACAAGAACCTATAGCTTTCTAAATTCCTCAAATGAGAAGTAGTGACAAGTGTTCTAGAAAGAGTAAATCTGTCCCGATTCGTGCCACAAACAGATAGCCAATCCTGATGAGTAATATTCCCGGTTAAAAATAATAATTAATATGAATCATCATTGGTTGAGTTTGTGTATTTAAAACTGGTGTGTATTGGAATGCGTATTTTGTAAAAAAAATTTACATTAGAATAGACCTTTCTTTACATTTATGTAAACATCAACTAATATATGTAATGACTATGGTATAAGCACATTTCTTTTTACGGATATTAACTATCATCTTAAAGCAAATGTGAAATATTTTCACCAGTAATCTCTTCAAAAGTGAGTTATATCAGTTTTGTAGTGTGCATACTATACGTTATTTAAAAAACCGTTCCGAGATGTAAATACATCTATAGACTCTGACTGCAGTGTTGGGGTATATCATATCACATCTCTCCCATACGAAGGTATTTGAGTAAATAATAATTACCTGAAGAAATGAGTCTCTAACAAGTTCCGGTGTGGATAAGTTATAAGGTGTTGCATAAACCATTTTAATATCATCTTCTATTACCTTCCGATTTTTGAAGAATCTTTGATGAACGTATTCGTGGATTTGCTCCAAGAAAAAGCTGGCTTTAATACCAGAGTGGTTCCCTTGGATTTTTGCTGCAATAGAAGTGCAGATAACTGAATAATTTGATATCGCTCTGTGACGGGTTCAACGGTTGAAATTCAACCGATTTTCCTAAACTGACATAAGTCTTATATTATAGTATCACAAAGGCGATAATGAATTTATATTTACCAATATAAGCAGCCCATTCCCCGGAATTTGTTCCTCGTATAACCGGTACATCCATTACTTTGCCATTTTTCCAACTGTTAATAGGAAGATCTGGCACTGTCTGGTAAAACGTATCTACTACTGGACTCCACATAAGTCTGTCCAGGGCTATCTGGATAATAGGACAGCTTTTTAATGATATTTGCAAGATTTGAATAAAATGTGTGGATCGGCTTATTCATAAAAGAGCACATAATCAGATAAGGTATCATCAGACAGACAACTGAAACTGGAAATATCTAATAAACCCTGCTAATGAACCGCTTTGTATTCACTTCGACTGTCCCCCCCCCCTTAAAGATTTTTACCATATTCTACCTTTACGACTGCTTTGTTGATATCCTCCGCATCTTTTGTTCTCAAGCAGTCAACAACTTCTTGTGTAGTGGCTTTAATACAACCCAAACCTATTCCCAATAATCTAGCTCTGTCTCTTGGTCTTAATACGTCTGTCTTCATAGCCACGGCCCAGTTGGCCAATCCTACCCCACTCTCACAGATAGCTGCATGGAACAAACCTAAACAGAGATATACCATGGTGTAGCTATATACAATCTGATTAAAATACAGATCTATATTTTGTTTCGATTTTTTATACTTTCGATGGCCTCTACTACATGAAGATCTGACCAGTTGTAGTGGTCATACGAGCGGCTTTTGACCCTATGATGTCAGACATTTGATTAACGAATCAACGTTGATGTTTCTAGTAGGATACCCACAGTTCCGTGCATCGCCCGCCACTAACCCGCTGTACCAGACCGTTTCATTGGCTAATCCCTCACATCAACCAGAACGCGGGTCATATAACAACTCTTCCAGATCCTAGTGTTGTAAAGACAAGTAAAACGAATTTTGAACTATAAAAAAACGAAAAGAAAATAGGATCTGTGTTTTAATCAGACTGAGCTATATAGAGATGGTTCGATACGTACAAGTCAGTGATACGAAAATTACTTTAGAGATGGATAAATTGAGGGAAAACAACTCAAAACAATGCCCTTCTTATAACCAGGCCCGTAGCTAGCCCAAAATTGGGGGTGGGGGTGGCAAAGGCTTCTGGGGGTGCGGACAGGGCTTCTTGGGGCGTCGATATACCTACACTACACTTTTGGAAAATATGTTTTGCACCTGAAAATGACGGAAAATTTCAATTTTGAGGCTGAATTTGCGATATTGGCGTATTATGATGTTTTGATATGAACATTGACAAATTTGAAAGAAGGAATACGACTTTAACGTAATTATAATAATTTATGAGAAAAACGAAAAGTTCGGAATCGGGTTAAAGTGCGACTTGTTTAAATTATGAAGATTATCACACCGTTTTGGGCGACTAATTCATTTGTGGGCGCCTGTATCAAATGTTTTGTTATTGATTGTCTATATATTAACTACATGTACAAGAAGTATTAGTCTTTGTGGGCGCCTGTATCAAATGTTTTGTCATTGATTAACTGTCTATATATTATCTACATGTACAAGAAGTATTAGTCTTTGAAAATTTGACTATGTATCCAACCTTTTGATAACGGCGATGTGAGAAGGAGTGAAACACTGGCTGATCCAGCACTGTCGCCGAACACAGTGACCCTCCCAGGATCTCCACCAAATGCTTGTATATTATCCTGTACCCACTGCAAAGCTAGCAACTGATCCAACAATCCAAAATTCCCAGGAGCTGCTTGATCTTCAGTCGACAGAAAACCTGTTAAATAATGGACATACATCATGGCTAGTGGTACGAGAGAAATTTAGCCCGGACAGTGTCTTTTCTTTCTCAAATTTTAATTTGGAAGGGTTATTTTACACGTAGGACAATGTGTTTGCGAGATCACGGATATTAATCCCACCTGAACATCTGGACACTTCCCTTCTTAGGCCCTACGTCCTCCAAGATTAATGATATAATATTCCAGCAATCAGAATATGCCCCGTCGGGCAATTTAATAAACGTTTTCAGATTTACAACAAAAGCTTGTGCAACATATGAAAACTTTCGTGACATACATAGTTTTACTGATAAAATTAGTCAGCGTAAATAGCAACGAAGGAGATTAGATTAAGACATTTATGTACAATTGCCAATATGATGCCGTAATAGAAAACCCTGAAACAGGTCCATATGGATCAAATTATTGATACAGAACGCTCTATCATACCAAGTGCACCCAGTCGATAGTTTAACGTAACGACAGTTACACCCTTCATTGACAATTGTGTACCATTGACAACCAACCCAGCGCCATTCACGAAAGCTCCCCCGTGAATATATACCATCACAGGTACTAATGCTGGGTCACTCGATTTCTGAAATTTAAGAATATTACTTGTATTTGAAATAAACACACAGCAATGCATCATGGTTTAGTATCCATGTTAACAAATTGAACATTTTCTTTGTCTGAAAGTTACAGCTCAAAATATCATGTCAATCAATATTGCTTCGAAAATTATCATAGTGATTCAGATATCTACACAATGGGCTGTGATAAACGTTTCAGTGAATTTATACCGGATTCTTAAGTAAGAGCAATGAATTAAGATAGCCGAGGCAGAAAAAAAGTATAGTGTGCTAGTCGCTTCATATTTGCTTTCAATATAAGCCAACATAATCCTTTGCAAAGATCGACACACCCGTAGGCCGGAATTTTTATATCTTGATCTGACCCCCCCCCCCCCATAAAATACAAAATTTCAATTTGCTAATCATTGCTTAATTGCTCACCCTGGGTCCATATATATTCAGATTAAGACAGTCTTCACTTTGTGTCACATTATATTCATTTGGACTCCAGGCAGGATTAGCACCTTGTAAACAAACATTGCCAAATGTTTTAGCTGATCGAATCCCACTCCATGGTGCAGCAGGGGTTGATTTGTTCCATCTTCCCAAACCTTTAAATATATAAAGCATTTTACATAGACACTCCTTTCGTAATACGGGTGGTCTTTCGCGAGCATTTTAGTTTATATTAAGTTGTTCTTGCTGTACGTGACAGGGATCTCCATTCTCCCACAGATAAATTCCCCTGAGCATAAGCGAATTTAAATAAAATTAAAATCATATTAGACACGATTCGCTACACGATTCACGAAACGATCAAATCTGTAATGAAGAGGCCCCCCCCCCCTCTCTCCCTCTCTCTCTCTGAAAGGCCAATTATCCCCATTTTAGCTTTTAGCAGAGCGTGTTTTAAAAAGATTATATCACAACTGTTATATTATATCACAACATATAACAATTTGTTTTATACCTTTCGGAGTTTATATAAACTTAGTTGAACTTTAACTTACCTGTTGGGGGAGCACCATACGGAATCCCTAAAAATGTATCGATTGACCAATCGCTGGTAATATTATATCTTGATCCTAATAACTGACCATTTTTGGTAGTGACGATGACATCGTCTGCTCTCCCGATATGAGAATAAAGCAGTAAACAAGAAATTTGTACCAATATGGATATTGTAGACACCATGGTTAGGTTTGATTATATCCGATATATATCGTAAATTTTAGGTCATATTACTGAATAACTGATACAAATAAACACTGTAATGTCACTACATTAAAAAAAAAAAGATAAGATATGGAGAGATAAAATAAATGTCTAATTTAGAATACAGGATAATCCCTTGTTATCTATATCATTCTGACAAGGATAATTTATCAACAGCTTTATCAAGGAATAAGCTCATCGGCATGACCTGGTGCGTTTTTCTGTGGATCGACTCTCCAGTTCCTTCCTACTTCGAGTTAGACAAATACAATTTTATTACAAAGACATGTGCTGTGAGGTTAAATTTTGTGTTGAGGGGACTGTCTCCACATCATTAGTTCAGAATTTTGTATAATTTTGTGTAAGGAGGAGTAAATGGAAACATTGGATATTAATATCACATTCCAGTAATTTGGCGAATATCTGTATAGCTAGTCTGAAAATCGGAATGGGCAGTAAAAAAAGTTTTCAAACATGAATAAAAATGATTGAGGCAGGTGGCACCCAAGCACGCGGGAAGCTGAAACTACATGGAAAAAAAGAAGACAAATCTAAAATCAACGCCTCGCATTGTAATTTGTATAGAAAGCTAAGCAATAATAATTATCGCTAACTTCCATCGTTTTAGCTGTAGCTGTGACCGCTATGATTCAAGAAAGTGGGAAATTTGGATTTTTATTTACATGATAAATCGCGGGTATACGATTTAAAGGTGCACCGTCGGTGAAAAATTCTATTCTGATAGTAAATAACATTTCCATCTTTTGTAACAAGATGGTGTCAATTTACCATGATCTAAAATCTACAAATTACGAAGATAACATACCAAATGATACTAACAGCACGTCATTGGAATTCCAATTGACTTTAATCGACAGACAGGGCCGGATTAAGATCCACAGAGGCACCAAGCACAATCATAAAGCATAAACATTTGGTTAGAGTTTTTCTAATTTTTTATACCCGCCATTATTAATTGCGACAAAACAGAAAAGACAAAAACAATGGAAATTTTTTAATTGTCGGCAGGTTCATTACATTTGCATGTCTATGTATCATTCTCTTTCCTTTTCATAAATATATGTAATTTTTCTATATCCGCGTTTGTTTTTAATATATTTAATATTTTTTATTTCACATACACAACTGTGATATTGTAGCACCATCGGTCGTTTGTCAGACATGGAGAGCGAACCCACTCTCTAGTCTATGGGAAACGTTTAAATATCTCGGGGAGGGGGGGGGGGGCTAATGTGGACAATGCATTATGCTATTCTTTCAGAACACTTGGATCATTACTTGCATTTTTGCCTGAATCTTTCCCAAGTGACAATTTGATTAAGTCTTGTATCATTTTTTTAGTTGTAGGTTGTCTGAGGAGTGGTGTACATTTGAAAGAAGTTTATTTCGGCAAAAAACTTTTACATAAGGAAAGAGGCAAGGGAAGGGTGGGTTATAATTTTAGAAGCATTACTCGATAACATCCCGAGTGGTTTGTGTTTGATCTGCGGTCGTTCATCGAATGAGTAGACGATCTGCCGCCCATGTGTTTAAGAGAAACCTTTTACACACAGGTTACTTATTGAAGAGCATTGCTTATTTTGGCGACGTTTGGAAGAGTATTCTCTTAACGACAAGTGTTTCCTAAGAAACTTGCCAGAGAAGCCATATTGTAGGCTTAATCCAGTATAGGTAGGAGGTGTGGGATTGATTAGTAGGCCTATTCGATCTCGTTTCCTTAAATAAAGACATGTTGCCTTTTGCAGGGTAGCGTCTGGGGTGAACTTTCCTCCAAAGGAGTTCCTCTGGGTACTAAAAAGTAAGATGGCGAGCGAGTGCGGTCTGTCCCGCGTTGCAAGCAACATTTACCGGGCCGGGCGATGTCGTGCCATTGGTCTTATCCAAAACAAAAACGACCCCTTCCAGGACACCCGACATCCCTTCACGTATAGGTATGTCCGACTAGCAGTAGCCCTCTGCATGATCATCTATAATGTATCCCATCCGTTGGATCTTCAAGTCGTCACAGAGTAGAACACCCTTTTAGTGCCCCCGAGTTAAAACCATAAGATATTGGATACCAATCAGGCTAGGCGTTTGGACAAGCATGCACAACGTTCAGACCAACATAACCTTTAAGAGTGTGTTTACAAGGCACATGCGAAAGGTGTTAATAGAATTGCTTTGTGTACGAGTCGGAAATTCCGTTGATAGGCTACCCCAGTGACGTATTTAACGTCATTGGGCTACGTTTTCTTGATAGGCTAGGCTAATCTGTTTCGAAAAAAAAAAACCAAAAAAACCAAAAAACAAATAAAACTATATAATAATGTAATGTATATAAACTGATTTACATTCGTTTCTGTTTTTACTATAATTTCTAGGTAAGTGATGTTCGGGGAAATACTCCAGAAGTCTCAATCGAATGTCAATCTCTAGCGTCTGGTTATTCCAGTCTATACCGATAGTATTTATTGCGCATGCTCTCAAGATAATATGGCGACAACGTTTGACATGTTTTGTGGAATATGTCTAGCCTCGTTCAAGTCCTTGTTGCTAAAGACATGTGTGTACATAAAACACGTGCGTGATCGGGTTATCTTTACTCTGTTAACTGACGGCCCCATTTCATTCGCAAATAGATACACCGTCAAAAGAGAAAATGGACGTTTTTGATTTTTGTCTTAATAATGAGTAATTGCTCCACTAATCCTCAGACATTCAGCGATTCGTCGTGGCATGCTCCTAATCAACCGTCCAATCACGATTTGGGGCAATCTGACCCACTCCTCTTGCAGTGTCACGGTCAATTCTTGCAGTGTTTCCGGTTGACGTTGACGTCGACGAACACATCTCCCGATCAAATTAAACGTAACACACTAAAGCAAAGATACGCTAGTCTTATGCAAGAACCGATAGGAAAGCAAACATGGATAGATAAACCAGCACGCGGCAGTTTTCATCAACCCTTCCTTGAAGTGTCAAATTTAACATGTATGGCGCTATTGCGTGTGGCATGTGCAGCTCAGTGCTTCTGTTGGGGCGATAAGTTCTTCGTCTGTGAACATACTCTCAAAGCATGTCAAATGTCCATGACTATTTATCATATTACAACCTGCATAGGTATTTGCATTTTAATATCCCACAAATCGAAATCGCCTCGAGCATGTTCCACACATCTCAACATTTATTAGCTTTTTGTTCAATCTATAAAAGCCTACATCCCTACACAATGTTTTGTTTAGTCAAGTGAAACAAGAAAATGTATAGGCTATAAATGGAACAATAGAACGCGTACACTTTAATGTCGACAAATACGTAAAACTATGCAAATAAGATATTTCTATGATATGATTCAACCGAAAGGTCCTATACATGCATGATATAATATCTACATTCAAGTTAAACAAACCGCATCTATTCATTTTAAATCTTGCGTCGAGCTGAATAAATTATGTGATTTATAACATCTACGGGTGGTTAACAGTGTATAACTAAAAACTATGATTGGATCTTTATTGCCAACATTTCAATTTAGCTAGAATTTTCTACACCTTGTCTATTGCATCTAGATGTTTAAAGCGCGTTAACAATATATTCATTTATGAGCAACTATGCAATTTCGGGATTAATATACCACATATTACAAATCATACCCAACGGAAAGAAATGGCGATTAATGAAAATTCCACCATTTTGGATTTCATTTTGCCGATTTCATTTTGAGAATGTCGCTGCCCTTTTATTACCAAATTCATGGAGTTTTTTTCTTTTTTTAAAAAAAATTTGGCAGTGATTTGGAAAGAAATAGATGTTTGTCAAATTCGATTTTTCGACACACTTCTCTTGCATAACCACTCTG